TCCTGATTACTGAGTGACATATATAATTTCATGCTTTGCTACTAACTAGCTTCAATGGCCTCGTAATTTTTTGCTCATAAGTTACTTGAGCGTGTATTGCGCAGCACAGTGCCAGCCCTAGTGAATAAGCGATTCTTTAGCATGAATATGACTTGGAAAACTTCTTTCGTTGTGTTTTAAGGATGCTTCATTATCCGCACGGTATGTTGGGTCAGCACTGTTGATGCCTCGGAGTTTAAACATGGTGGCAGAGAGCCTCTATACTTACTTCATGCATGGAATCGAGGAAAGAGAAATCGATTACCTGCCACAGATCAAAGGCGATTCCAGTTTATTAAAGCACGTCAAATCCGATGCTCCGATCGAGAAGAGGGTATTTAACCTCTCTCAAATTCCTACCTCAGATGATTTGTCGCACTTGATGAAACGTAAAACAAGAATCTCCATCACAATTCGACACGTTCCCAGAACGTGCAACGTCACTATATTTCGCACTTCCAGGTGAACAACACCGTATAATAAATACATAAGAGATGATCAGAAGGATGATGTTCTTATTCCTAAACTTTATCAATGAGGAATAAAGAACTTTTAATATGACAAAATCACCTATTCAACGATACCCTCATCCGGTCCGATTAAAAGCAACGGTACAGTATCATGACACGACGCTTCTGCAGTGGGAATTTTAACAGATGGCACCGAAGGCATATCCCTGGCCTGAATGCAAGCGAAAACCTTTTTTGTATATTGGATGAATTTACACATAATCAGGTCGAAATTGATTCACTACATTCCATAAAAAAGATAGGACACCACAACATGGAGGGGGTGATGTTAGTGATAGTTGTGGTGAGTGAAAAGTGGAGTCCATCACATTCTGCTTGGACGGAATGCTGCACTTGAAGACTGGAGCAGAGAAAATGACTGGTACTTGCGTCGCGCACAATTTAGCGGTTGCTGACATTGAAAATTCTACTGATGGATGCCCTGCGCCCCTGTGCGCCGATGTTGCGTCGTTTGTGACGCAATGAGATGCGGTTAAAGAAGTTAGTTCGTGCCTGTTCTTTCATAAAAATGACTTGCTGTGGTGCGTCGAGGGGAGTGGGTGCAGATGAAGTAAGAGCAGCGCATGGAGCTGTTTCTGTTGGAGACACTTCGTTTTCACAGGACAAATTAAAAGAGTTCACTCGGTAAGAGTCTTCATTGGCCAGGGCTGGAGTGATACAGTCCTCTGCCCCTGAAACACTTTCGCTTCGAGCGGGCACACGTCGTCTCATTCGAACGAGTGATGACACATCTAAATAGGTTGTCGGATCAAAAGTGAAATCGACTACATCTTTGACTAGCTCAAGCATCATTTACACGCGATCATTCCACATAAGATGGCTTTTCATGCAAATTTTTAGGTCTCGAACACCACTATCTTGTAGAACAGGCATATAAGCCGAACAGAAGCAGTAAATCTATAAGGGCCCATTTGGTTAAACTTAGGCCAGGTGAAGTGATTTTGCTACAGAACATCTTACCAATCAGATAACTTCTATTCATAGATAAAGTTATGAAGCGAATCTTATAAATTGAAAAGGCATGTCAAGAATAATCAACCCTGCTCCATTTCTCGGAGCCTTCAGTAAAAGTTGGCACACTCTTGTTTCTAAGATGTCTGGCGTCATAATCACGGCAAATTATTAGTAAGCCGCAGTAAAAAATTGCATAATTGAAACCAATACTGAGGCTATCATAATGGAAGATAATAGCAACTCGCATGCACTTCACACAAATTAGATGCCAAAAAGATTGAAAGCAAGCGTAACAAGGAAGCTGACAACAAAAACGAACAAAGCGATGATGGTACGGCACTAGCTAATCAAAACTTGCACACAAACACAAACAAGATGTTTCCACTCAGTTGCCTACCGTAGCTCAGTGTTGAGGTAGTGCTGTAGAAATGGTGTGTGGAGAATAAGTGTAAGTAATAATAATGGTCGAATGGATATAAAGAAAAATTTAATGAGACAATTTAAGTGTGAAAAACTGGAACAACCATCACCACTAGCAGCTACGAGTCCCTTGCAAGTTCAAAATCTTTGTTCTTCGTAGAGCTAGAGGAACTGCATTAATACATGCAAAAAAAATAGTTCGTAAGCAAGCTGATGTCTTGAAGACTAAGATAGCATTGAAGACAGGTTATATAAAGAGCAGGCAGAGAACGTATACTCCTCTGACGGCATCGATGCATCTGCTTAAAGGCATGTGTGGACATATAAGGAACAAATGAGAAGTCCATATTATTCAATGACAGATGTTGGTATCAATACTGTTGGCAAATGGATTTCACGTTAAACAATGCCGTGTAACTTCCGCAAAATCCTCTCATACGAGGGTTCTAAGTACCAAGAGCTCAAAGGAATGGCTCACTTACAAAAAGGAAAAACTAACATATTCCGAGAAAACAACTTCATTAAGAATTCGTCTCCTCATTTTAACAAGTGAGCGAAAATGGAGACGGAGTTAAATCAGCTAAACAAACGATACCTTTTGCTGGGATACTTGGAAGTCTCGCTGAATCGGTATCGGGGTGAACCATAAAACATGGTGCTACAGCGGGAGGTCCACGACTAGTACTCTCTTGACCTGCGAATAGAAATTCGACAACCGTAAGTGTGATAGTCACCACGTAAACCGTGCGACGACGTGGCACTAAACTAAGAAACTAATATTAATGAAGTCGAATTCTAGCACCGTGCATAAAAATAATTTATACGATGGTGATCAGCACCATCACAACCGTCTGATGATGCATGCTGATGTAGTCATATACATGAAGTCCAAACGAGTAATAAAGAAATGCAAGCATTGCCGCATTCTCAACAAGTGAAACCAGACTTACGAAGAAGAGTTTTTGGTGAGGCTACTTGCATGATGAAATCTTCAAAGGTGGTGTTTTGTGCGTGGCCGTTGATGATAGACTGAAGATAGAAGCATCGCTCTTCAAAGCTAGGAGAAGATGGTTAAGTACGTATCGGATACCATCAAGGCATAGAAATAGATAAGGCATGTTAGGCACCATGCTTGATCCAATGAACAAAAGGATACTGCTCCTTGAAATTGGGTTTTCTGATATTTATGGCGTTACTAGCTTGAATCGCCGTTGAGCGAACTAAGAAGGGAAGATGTTCCTCCGAGACCAGCATGCCATCAATGAGGGGGCCAAAAAATGGTATCTTAAGTAAAAAAATTAGGAATGAGTTTAAAAGACAAAAATTCTATCGAGGAAAAACTTAAAAATAATGTGTTTACTCCTGAATCCATTCAAAGCCCAGCTAGACTTTCGTTCATAAAAATAAGAACATAGTGAATGACTCTTCAGGAAATAGTTAAGCTGAATAAAAGTCCAAGCTTGAGATCTGTTTCCATTCACTTTACCTCTGGTTCCTTCCGTATCTCAATTCGAAAGAGACCATTGGATAACGGTGAGATAATAATAAGCACATCACCAAACTCCGTGCGAAGGCTACTCCTTCGAAAAGAACGCCAATGCTCAGTCCAAATAATCATCACTTCATCGTTGCCGAGGTGTTTGAACTAAACAGTGGTACAAAGAGCTTATTAAAAAGAAAATATATATGGTACAAATAAAGTCCAGCACAACTACATGTAATAGTAATACAGAAGCATGATGGTAATAAAAAGTATCGAGCAGAGATGGGTGACGGGTGGGTTCCATATTCACCATTCGATGTCGGTCCTCATCGGTGGCGGAAGGCATTTGCGTGGAGACGTGAAAGATTACTTCAATCGCAGGACTAGCAAAGTAAGTGGCGATTTCACCATCCTCAGGATACTGCAAACCTCCTGTGAAGCCCTGATGATTAGCCAAGTTGACAGGCCACCCAAGATTGGAGGCGAATTGCTGAAACTCGACAGAACCCCGCGAATTTGACAAAATATCTTGCTTTTCCTCCTGTCCCGGCCCGACGTACACCAATGCTATTTTGTAAGTTTGACGCCTAAAGGGATACAATTAGGTATCAATGTTTTTGTAATTACCCTATATGAACTTGATAGCCAACATAAACTTTCATTTTTCAACGATGGAGAAATAATTCACTCCATTGAGGAAAATATTCAATCAGACTTATCAGTAACTACTACATTTCACAACCATTTCTACACGGAACCAACGCTAACCATTGGAAACGATTGAAAGTAAGTTACACCAACGTTTGCATAAGATACAGGAGTAGACATTATACACTTAGAGGAAGCTTAGGCAGCGAGCATATGCTTAGGGACGAAAAGCAAAACTCACGATCGCCGCTTGTCAAGATTTTTAATTTCCCGAACCAGTCCCCAAGACTTCTTTAGTAATTCAACTGAAGGTCGGCGACTTTGTGATAAAAAACCGAGCTGACATAGAAGTTGTTTGATGGTGTTGTATTTCTGACAAAGCTTGAACCACTGCTCCATTTCACTTGATTCCAGTATATCTTCAGCACTATTGCCGTAGAAATGTCTAAGAAGGAATAGGTTAAACAAAGACACCGCAATTCAACTTTGGTTAGTCGGTTGTTCAATCTCTGGAAATGAATGCGAATCATGTATTCGTGACAAAAATCCCCTAATAAAAATTAATCCACAAGCGACAAGCATGGTACAAAGATAGTGTGATGTAAACCCACAATGGAGGAATCTCAATACTGTGTCCAAGTGCTCGTCTTTCATTCCTCATCGCAGTGGAGATTCGTTCAGATGCCCATTTCTCAAATGCCGGATTTGCCAAACAGCTACTGACATTAGTTGCACCAACCACATTAGTGTATTCAAATGGAAGATGTGATCTAAGTTCAGGGTGCTGCGAAACCAAATCCTCAAGGAGCTAAAGAATTAAATAAATTAATAAAATATTTTACTAAGAACGCGAGAGATTACAATTAGTTTATTCCACTGCAAAATAATGATACTCAATCCCAATTCATGAACGAAATTAACTTCCATTACGGAACAAAACAAATAGACAGTGAGGGTCGAATAGAAGCAATAGCATGAGAAAATAACCCCTGATCTTTGCACGAAACAAATACTAGCATGTACCTTGTTGAGGAAGTCTGACCTGACTTTGCCGTCCTCCTCATTTTCATCGGATGCAACAGTTTCCAAGTTGACTGAAAAAGCTCGTTGACGGGGTGGAGGTGATGGTGCCCATTTCTGCATCTCCGGCATTAAACCATAGATATGAGTAGCATCCCATGCGTACTTGCCTGCGACGTCTCGCACAATTACGCGCACATTACAAAGGTCTGTGTCGTAGTGAACAACAAAAAGAGCAATTATGGATCATTGTCTTGAAAAAAACGACAGCACTCTAGTTCCCCAAACGTGGGAGACATGTAGAATAAGAAGCAGAGATTTCGGAAAAGGCGCACCTGTTACAGCATCCTCCTTGAGGGTCTCTGCATTAACTGCATGCCCAGTTCTCGATGCCCAGTTGTTGGATTCGTCAGTAGAAGCAACAGTGAAAATTGATACCAAGAAGGACCGGTTTACGACAAATATTTGTACGTCCGGCTGATCGAATGATTCAAAAGTCAGCTCTTCTTCTACGTTGCCAATTATCATTGTCCTATCATGATGTTCTTGGACACGAGAATCCGTTATATCATTGGTGCTTGACTAGAAGAGAAGTTATGGTAAAGGCTAAACAAAATATACTTGGCAAATCATCATTTTAGTAAAAATTATTACCAATGTTTGGAGTGGAAAGATATCGAATTAAGTCTTGTTGAAAGCATCCACATTATGGAGGGTGAAGGGTGATCAGCTGCAGTGAGTGCGCTCAATTGTCATATTTACAAACGATTTTGAGAGTTCTCCAAGATTAAAAAAGGAAAGCCACTACTCACTAGAGGATACCGACCGAGTTGGCAGAAGAGTTGACAGCGAGCGAACCGAGCAGCCATTCGAATGCTCTCTGGAGTGAGAGGAGTTGGTGCCAGAAAGTAGCTCTGATCAGAAAACACATCTATGGAATCAGAGTGGCGTTCTCCATCGCCCACACCTGGTCGCAGTGCATCAACAAACTGAAAACAAAGATAGGCGGATACTACATCATCGCTGACTTTCCGAGGCGAATAAACACACATATAAGTCAAAATTAACAATGACAAATGAGTGTGCAAGGACAAAGACATGTGTTGCTTTGAACTGGAGATACCAAGCAATGAAGAAGAATGAGATAGGCACACTACCGCCAATATGTGTAGTGCAGATTTTACTCACTTTTTTTTTCTGCTCAACTGACAGAAGCTGGTAGAGAAACCATGGAGTAGCCTGGTGTAGGAATATTAAAATAATTTTGCACTGCTAACGGCTGCTGCGCTAGTTCTGTGATTGACAATCTTAATGCGTTAATGATAAATCAACAACAATGGTAGCCATCCGTTAATGAGGTTAAGAATGAAGAGAGCAAGGCCGACCTCGCTTTTGGCTTCACCAGCAAGAGGATCAGAGATTGGACAACCAGGTACCCAACCAGGACCAGCTGATTCCAACTGAACAGAGGTGAAGGGAGAAGAGCAGATGAATTCGAGCACTGAGAAAACTACCCAGAGGCAGGTAACTTCCTTTGAACGTATCAGATCAACTCCCTCCGTCTTGCTCAAATCAACAAACGGTGAAGTCAGAAGTGGCAATGGTATTTTCATTGTCCATTCCATCAACGCTGATATATTTCCAGTCAAGAGCTAAAGTTAACAAGAGCTTACTTCAGCAGACCTCAAAACGATGATTATCCATGATTTCCAATGCAGCATTTCGAATACGTAAAAGTAATAGATACATCGCCCGTCAACCAAATAAGTGAGTTGACCCAAAGCGAATCGAAATTGAACACACTAGAGGGTGAGCAAAGATTGGTTAGACAAAATAGAACCTCGAAGTTAAACGAGTTATTGAATAAAAATCAACAATAAAGTGAAAAACTGTCAAGAACTAAAACCATGAATATACGTGAAACAATACCATCTTAAACGTTGGTGATATTTTCTCTTCCGTATAGGCTTGACTCCACAGAAAAGCCAAATTCCACGCAAGTGTCTGAGATGAGAAACGAAAGACGTTATTGATGAAAGTGAGGCATTAGGAGGGAGACAAAGGGATTTCTTAACTAACAAAGGGAAGGGCAAGGACCGCTTACCTGAATAATGAAGATGGGATAAGTGGGGTTAATGTCGAAGATGATTTCCGAGCACTCAGTGAGGGTGCGAAGCATACTCATGGCGGTGAGAGCGACAGCGCGGTTGGTGAGACGTGTACAGCGCAGTAGAGTGATGAGGCAGGTGCGAAGAGAGGTGGTCTTCTCAGCTGAAGCGAAGCGAGAACCCGACTGCCTAGTGAGATTGGAGTAGCACACCACTAGAAGGCCACAAATCGCTACTTGACGAGCCTCCTCATTCGCCTCCGCCACGACTCCACGAAACAGTTGGGAGGCCAAGAGAGGCTGAAGGGAAACAGAGGTGCCTCATATACTACCTAACCGTTAGTGCAGGCTTAATTCAAAATAACCTACAAAATTCGAATCTTATATTGGGTCTGTGAGAATTATGGTACAATGATTTGCCAAAAAAGATGGATGTGAAATGGTCAGTGAAAATATGAAGATCACCCCATCTGACAGGCAATGTTGCAAATGTAAAGGAATTGGACCACTAACTCACAATGATGTCGTCAGTCTCCTTCACTTTAAGCTCGCGAGAAGCGGGAATGAATGCCCTCAGTGTTCCGAAATGGTGTTGAAATGGAAGGAGAGTGACGAGAATGGACATCGCTTGAGCGTGTAATGTCTGGGATAGGCATAAAAAAGAACTGTACGGTTAACTATTTAATTGATTTTTTTATTTCGTTTTAGTAACATTTCATATATCTTTTGATAACACAAATTGACGCTAGATACGAGTTATTCTTAGAGTGAAAAAATCGAAAAAAAGCATCAGCTATTGAAAGTCCTTTAGTAAGGAACTCGAGATTATATATCGAAGATGAAGGGTTAAACCCCATGAACTGTTCAAGGTTATCTTTTGAAGTTGAAAAATAACCATTGAATTGATAAAAAATGAGGGAGGGAAATGAAATAGCAAGTGGTGTAGCATTTTGATTAAAAAAACAAGATAGTACAATGGTAAACCAAAGTAGTAAGGCAACATCAGCATCAAGAAAAAATGTACTACTACTGCATTATAAAATAGCAGCTGCATGAAAAGAAAGTAAATCACTGCCCCACAAGAGAAAATTCATGGTGCCTAACCTCGTCTTTTGAAGAAGGTTGACACAGAATTTCGTCAGCAGCCTGTATGAAGTCCAATGTCAACAGACCACAACCAGACAGAGAGTAGCTAAAGATTTTCCCACAGTCTGAGCGAATAACCTCGCTAGCAAAGTTCTGCAGATACAATAAATGTGAATATTACACAAACTATGCTGTGTACGACAATTTTGCACAAATTTGATGTCCAATCGAAACATATACAAATGCAGCCCCGAACAAAATGTTGGACAGAAGCAACCAAATGAGCCATGTTAAATCAAACTATCGAAAGGATTTGTTTTACAAACCTACCTCAACATATAACATTAAACGACTAAAAATTGACATCGTTCACCTACACGGTTTCAAATGGCAAAAGTTTTTTTTGAAAAAGTTGTATTCACAAGCCTACGCTAGGTGGTTTTGAAGACTTTGAGCAATGAGATAAATCAAATCCAAGATCGCCATTTCCTGCTTCAACATTCAACACTTTTAAAGGATGAATATTTACACATTCTTTTTGAGTGAGAAGGTGATGCAGAATACGGTAGAACTGGGCCAATAATTCTTCGCTAGGTTCGATATCATGCTGCGCGATAAGGATCTTCCTCAAGATGCTGAGAGCTAATTTCTTGCCTTCAACGAATTCAGAGGACATTTGCAGAACCTGTAAAAAATGAAAACAGATCCTCAACACTTGATAACAACTTCTTTAAATGAAGTGTACTGCACCTTCAGATAGACAGGCACAAGATAGTCAATGGGAGGACGATTTGAAGGCGCTTTCACTGTTCCGTTTGACATAATTTCCAGCGGTTGGTAGGCGTCAATGGTAAGGAGAGAGTTGGTTAGTGAATCGAGGTACGTAAAGGCATCAGCCATCACAGCAGGGCTAGAAAGGTGGCTAAAATCGCCCAAGAGGCCGAGAAAGCGGCGCCAACAGACCACGGCAGAGTCAGAATTCCACCCCAACTCCTTCCCACCGGCCAAAACGCTGCTCCCCTGTAGATACTCCGGGGCTGGTTTTTTCAACGTGGATGCTTGTGAAGACACTAAATTGAAAAGCAAAATTATAACATCATACTATTGGTTAGAAGCTAACTAAATTACCCACAAAAGGCCTTAATTCGTTGTGTAATAGTGCAAGGTAAAACAGAAGGTCCTATCAGATCAGAGCATCCAGGTACCCTGTGTCAAAAAAACATCACCTTTGGAGATCAAACCAATGAACTTGTAGAGTACTTAAACCACCGACAGAACAATAAATATGATTCCGTGTTCCCTTCTAGAACAGCAACACAGAATATGAACTTTTAGTTATTTCCATTAGGTAGCCTTGGTTTTTATCATAAAAGCCGCAGCAACACTTACACTCAGAGTTCGAAACTCTCGTTAATGTTGTGGTGGACGGCAAGCTGTCTGAAGACAAAAAACATACATGAGGTTACGTTATGTAGTCAGTGCAGCCATGTGACAAAAGGAATCCCACCTGGCAAGTGTCCCTGGCGCACAACATCCAACTGCACCTAGACATAAAGAGAAGACCCAAAGTTTAGTACAGGCATGCAATAAGCACTGAGGTTCTGTCAGTTGGCAAAGCTAGAAAGACCGTCAATGAGGTACATCAGCCTTATGAACGCAGATTGGGAAAATCACAACATAAAATGAAAGACTTGCGTTAAAGCAAGGATATCATATAATACCATACAATATTCATACCTAGACCTGACAAAGGAGTAGAGCATGGTTTAAAAAACCATTTACTAGTGTGGTTACTAACGATAGCTACCGATTCGCCGAATGTTCAGCACAAATTAAAAAAACAATGGAGTTGTAGTTGTTCATTTTAATATTGACTTTACAGATCTACCGAACACAGTTCGAAAATTCTTCAAATACAAAAAGTCGGCAATCGTGTGCCACTTAAGTTGACAAGGGATTACGCCAACTTTCTAATGCATTTGAACAAGACGAGCTAAGTGCAGAGTCCCAGAGGTTTAATTTGAAGCGTGAATGGAATTGAAGAAGGAAGTCGTGATCTCACCATAACTGAAAAGTGATAAGCGTGAAAGAAATTCGGATAAGTTGAAGTGAGATCAAGAAAGCACGCTGCCACAGCGTCTTCGATGAATACAAATGTTGAATAAAAAACCAGATGGCGCCTCTACAAGCTTGATCAACTTATCAGACCGAATTCAATCCGAACCTGATACTTTATGACAAATGCACTGAAAGGGGCGAGAAACAGATCCAAAAACGTCCTTGTAAGATGCAGAAAAGTGTAAAAAGGAGATTCGTCAAGCTTCAACAGTAAACATAGGATACCTCCCTATACGAGAGCAGAATTCCAAAACTAACAGCTACGCAGGTATTACGAACATTGCGAAATACTAAACAAGACTACATGCGTGTTTTAAGGTATTATACTTTGCGATTTATGTGAGAAGCAGCGAAAAAAAGTTGAGCAGACGAATTTCTCAGCTCAGAAGACTATGAAAGAAAAAAACCCAAACTTAGTCCTATGTTATCTGGGGACTTTTATACGATTTCATATCTGGGCAAAGCAGTTATCATCAAGGTAGGACGTGCGAAGATATGACCAAAAATCAGAAGAGAATAAGTGATGCATACATTATCAGACTTCTCTTGAGGTCGTGCAGTGTAAAAATCCCTGTCATGTACCAAGGTCGTTCGAGCGGGGTTCTCTGATTCATATGTGTTATCAGGAACAAGATTTTCCATGAAGTAGAGCTGAGTCTGAGTTACCGACTTGTTGATTCCATTATCCAACGCCTTGGAGGATGGCAGTGCCACACTCCCATCATCTTCCACCACATCAGCTTCATCTACTTGAGATTCATTCCACGACGCAAAAATATGACCCTTTGGAGGCTAGATTGAAAAATAAGAGCCCCACAGCCCTCACTCATAAGACTTTCACAGATTAACCTTTTGAAAAATATAGAAATCAAATACTAAAATTCCAACAGGGCATGACCGTATAGAAGGTATGCACAAACTTACGTAATAATCAATGTCGCTACCGCAACCATCATAGAAGTTGGGTGACTCATGGAAGGTAGCGCCTACCGCCTCAGTAGCACTCAGAGGTTCAGCAGCTATATCGGAGCTGACTGCGTCGGTGTCATCATAACTAGTGGTTAGACTGAACTCCACTGCTGGTGTCCCCTGTCCCAAGCCTATCGAATTGGCTTCGTTAGAAGTGGATTCTTCGAAATCGAGTGCTTTAGAAGGCAGTTTAGCGCTCAACAGACCTGACATAGCGCTACCAACAGTCTTGACTAAAAGAAAATCGTAAACCATGAGTTGGTTTAAAAAAAACGACTGCCAGTGTTACTAAATGATACTTTTACAGATATGGTTGACTTAGTGACAATGTTCCTAAACGGTTGGAGTCTACTACGAATGCAAATTCGTAAAGGTTAAAAGTATTTATTAGTAGTTCCGGGATGTGTTTAGAACGAAATAAAAGTTGCCCTGACAGATTGTCAGTGAAAAGAAATCTAAGTATTATGATGCTATAGAAAATGAACCCACCATTAGCGGAGTTTCGCTTTTCTTTTGAAGCAATACGGGATGGATCTAGGTACTGCGAAGCTGCACCCAATCTACCTACAAGAGAGACAATTGAGAAAAATCGTCGATTTTTCGATTCGATTGACGATGATACAGTAATACTCTAATGCATTCAATTCGGTGATTCAAAGCTGCCGGTAAGCAAGAAGTGCATAGATTCAGCGCTGTTGATGGCTCAAGACCGTCAATCTAATTTGGTATGACAAAAATTTGAATTGTAATGGATAATTTGCAAGAATCGCCAAGCATAAATGTAATTAAATATGAGCAGAAATCCAACGAATCGCTTCTTTGGATATAGTGCCGGAAAGAGTAGTACAAATCGAGCTTTTGCAGTGCGCAAGGAGAGGATGTGAGCACAAGAAATGCAACATGAGCATTATTTTAATAGGCATAAGCGGCTCCACATGTGAGGACATTGACAATCAACACACACCGCCAATAGGTCAATTGATAAAGGACGCGCCCATTGGTGCTACCAAGAGGGTAACGTCTACTTGTAAGTGGAAACGTTCAATATTTCCGTATTATCAAAAGCCCAATGTTGTATTGTTGATAATATCGCGAAAAATTTGTACTTCGGCTGTTAACGGAAGTTGGATGAAGAAGCCTTTCAAAGATATGAAAATCAAGATGTTTTAAGAAGGATTTGATAATTTCGGAGATGAGATTCATAGGACAGTGACAGTATATAGTTCTCACCTAAAACCCGCCTCCCCCGCTTGGTCTTCCTTTCATCGGGAAGATTTGATAGATCCACACCAAAAACTATTTTACCCAGTTGACGCGTTAGAAAATCCATAGCTTTCTGCAAAGTAAGTGTAAACGTTCAAGAATAGCATTCTACGAACTTGTAGCAGTCCAGTGCTTCAAACAGGTGCCAAGCTAAATCATCCGTGACTTGTCAAAGGTGTACCTCATAAATTCATTTTATCGTGGAGGACTTGATCTTAGTTTTTCCACAAACAAAAATGGAAGTGAGCAATTATGTTTTGCCAATCCAACAATAAAGCTACAACTTCCGAACAAATTCTGACCACACGAATACGAAAGCTAACTTCAAACTGGGAGAAGGCACGACTTAGGAACCAGGGTGCTTAAGCATTGGGGCTATGAACAACACTCCAATAATGATATAAACAAGTTTAAAACAGCCAAATGCAATGATTAAATCTGACGCATTATAACATTCCTGGCAAACTTGCCTTCCATTCTCGGAAGAGGGCTGGACAATTTGGAAGTTTAGAATAAATACTCAAACACCTATCCCACGTAGCTGAGGATATCGGTGCGGCAAGAGTTGCATAAATACAGGCCGTATTGAGTGTCTAAAAAAATTCGCAATGAGAGAAAGTACTTGAACATACTACATGGGTTAATGTATCATTTATCCAATCGCACAACTGTAAATATTTCCACAGAGGGAAAAGCCACATATAGCTATTGGATTCCGATTGGGAAAAATGCAAAATGCGAGCACAACGTTGTGAATAATGAGCCGCGTAAAAACAAAACAAAGATGGAATAATGTATGAATACCTCAACACTTCTACTGCCAAATGAATCGCCTATTTAGTGTTAAATTAAAAATAGATACATTAGAGTTGATTTATCTTGAACTGCAGAGACCCTAGAAAACATACGAATTCTTGAATATTAATAGCTTTGCACTGAAGCATTGCAACCAATAAATGCAAGTGTTATTTAGCACCTCATGAATGCATGGCATCCAAAAACAGAAGTACAAACATGGAGGAAGGAATGTAAGCGCAGATTAAAAGATTAATAAAAAAATAGCCCCTGTATTAAAACTTTAGCAATGAGTCAAAGAAACTCAGCCATGCATTAAAAAAATAAACTGACTTCAACTTTGGTTAAGTTAAATGGTCCGACAATAAGCATGCAATACAGACAGGTGACACTAGTGCAAAAAAATTTAGAAAGTTACCTGGAACATTTTGCCCAAAAGTTTATCATTTGACACCCAATGGGAATCAAATTGGTCTGTCTGATAGATTTTCGACATGACCTCCGAAACGATATGCATCAAAGTGAAGAGCAATTTCTCCCTGAAAAGATGTAATTGGGAAAATTGCTAATAGCTTGCAAGTCCTCGGATAAGGCACAAAATCAGCTACATAGGCAAAACGAAAAGGAAAGATCCAGTGTTCATTCGAGTGGATCCAAACGTGAAATTATCCATAACCTCACGAAAATATGGCGTAAATCGATAAAGCCCAAGATAGAATAAGAAATTTTGACGAAGTTTTCATAATGCAGCAACGAAAATCCAAAACGTGTGATGACTGAAGAACAGTAGGTGTCGCATACATGTTGGTACCAGCAGGAATCAAGTAGAAGTACTAAAAGAGCGTGAGAACTGAAAACGTGTAGCAATAAATAAAATGGCAAGAGATAAAATTAAGAAACGGTTGCGGGGGCAGTTTGGCTACCAGCTCTCGGTGCTGAGGGCGTTGGACTGAGTTAGTGGTTGGATAACGGTGTCAAGAATGAGGGTGCACAACGCGATTTGCTGAACAACAAAATCCACCGGTGTCTCCTGCACCCTATCCGTCAGCTCAAGGGTCACCACACAGGCAGGGGGACAGACGCGGAGGAAAATGTGAGCCAGATTGGTAAACATCGCCTAGAGAAGAAGTACATTGAACCGTAGAAATATTCCATAATCGTAATGGGACGTCTTAACGGAGCTATCTGAAATATTCATTAAGTTGTCACTAGATATTCATACCAATGAACCTTAATTCCAATAAGTTTGGTGAACTCATACTCTTCAGTTTGGAAAACTGATCAGGAGATAGTATGAACAAATAGTGGATCGACGTGTCTCAGCAACCAACTTAGGGGCTTTCGCATTTCTGGCTGTCTGCCTTGGAAATAAATAAAAGCGCATTTCAGATGAACTCGAGCATCTAAGCCACTACATCAATGCGTTGCGAGCCATGAAAGGGAATGTTAAAAATCAGTGTTCAAAAGTAAGAAGCAAATGTTGCTTAAAAAGAGGTGAAACACTGCATTTGTATTTGTTAGCCATAGGCAGAGTGACTATATAAATTAGCATCATAATCGAAATGGGATAGGCGCCACCAAAGTGCTAAAACAAAGGTGCAGGTGTTATATAGAACATACAGGAAGATGAGGATTACAGAATATGGATTTGATCAGGGGTCAGCGCTTAACAAAATGGACAACAGTGTGAAGAAACATCTAATTTATTTATGAAAATGGTTTATGACCAAGAGAAGTGAGAGGAACAGTGGCTCAGACACTTTGGATAAATATGGTCCTTTCTATAAATTATTTAAGGAAATTTAAACAATGTGTAGTTGAGAATCAAACCAAGTTAAAAATTGTGAAAGAATGTATTTGGTCGGCCATCAAAGATCAAACTAGTTTCTAGGCCATATTTCGAAATGTAGGCATACAACATCCCGCGTAATCCAGAGTAACGGTTTAGTTTATCTACCTGGTAAGTTGTCTGCAAGCATCCGCCAATATCATTACGTGTGAGTGGGATCGGGTGTTGAGTCGAAGGAGAGGGCGAACTGTTAGAAACCTTAGAAAGGCTCACATTGGGAAGAACTGCCGACAGACTTGCTTCGCGGCGGCGCCTCATGTCTTTGAGGCTTGAACCCGGCATAAAATTTGGTTGAGCAGATCCCTAGCATTACAAACGCCGTTCGGCTTTATTGAGAAATATCAGTAAGAGCAGGGCAGAACGCAGCAATTTTTGGTAACTCAGAGAGTGAAGATTACCGACATTGATAATAAGAAAAATCAGATGAAATAAAAACACTTTTGAATTCCTTCGTTGGTGTCAAAAATACGATAAAATACTGCTGCAAGGCTAGAATTGAAAGTAAACAAATGCACAATTGTTGAACTACAGCGTAGATGCACTTACAGAATCTTGTTGTTGTAATGTGATAATGAAAACAGCTTAATCAAAAATATTAGGAAATATAATCAAACGGTTTTGTGGAAGGACACAGCATACTTGATTCCAAGTCATTCCTTTCGCTTGTTATCTAAAACTTTTGGTTCTGGAAAATTTTAGGCGACCTGGAACAGCTGCATCAATATCGCATGAGTGTAGAAACTACCACAAGCGGCGTGCATACTTCAAAAAACTGAAAAAATACACTACCATTTGATAGAATCTGCGTTGCGCCACTTTTTTTGCTCCAACAAGTAAAAAAATCATCCAAATAATGCCTCAAGTAAAAAATAGCAGTTACATACTTTCTAAAAGACTTCGTTGTATAATTGTGGCTTTAAACCAAATAACTATTGGCTTGAGCCCATTTCTGGAACTTGTGAAAAATCAAACCGACATTGGCCTCACAAAGATGTACCAAATAACAGCAAAACCAGGTAATCATTCTTGAGTTCACTAATTAAACTTACTTTGATTGACGTCTGTTTGACGTCTGCATCCTTCATAAACGCTACCTTCGCCTGAAATCAGATTAGACACGAAATTCAGAACATGTAACAATAAGGAAATTGTATGCCATATCCATATCATATGTATCAAGGTCTCGTTACTGTAGCGGAGAGCACAATTATATTTTCGCTGAGGTCAGTTAAACTGATAGACGAATGTATCAGCGAAGAAAATGCGCTTGAGTTTGCTCTCTTAACACATTCATTGAACAAAGGGAATCAAAGGCCAAAAGGTTTTATGGCGCAATGGACTGGTGTTGCGGCAGATAGAAACGGAAGTATCAACTAGGCCAGCATTAATTCTTCTACCACCCTCAATGAGATGCTTTAACTGCAAATGCAAAACACGTTACATATCGTCATGCAACAAAGTAGAAGACAAAAAGCCCCGGCTCCAAGACGAGGACTTATCGAACAACGGCTAGCCTTACAAGTTAGGTAGGCTGCTTCAAAACGAATTTTGCTGAAGTGATAAAAAATAATGGAGAAGCAGCTATTAATAAGAGGGTGCAAATACGACTGAAAGATAGGAACGCAAAATATTTGCAGTAAATGAATGAATTTTAATAACGGATTTTAAAACAGCAGAAACCACACCTTAGATATCACCGCGAGTACCCAGCTTATTCCTAATTTTGGAATGACACTACTTGCTAGGCGGTGGTTCCCAAGGTAAACAGGGAATAATAAAGACAAAGAGAGGTGAAAAGAAGAGGTAGTGAGACATTTTCCTGATAGCATCTCAATAAGCTACAGCTATTTGCGATCCGACTTGAGTGCAGAGCCGGGACGGTCACTCACCTTCAGCCATGAACGATAGACAAGAATAAGGCAAAAAAGTGCCTTATATCGGTCGAGTGGCAGTAGAGAGGTATGGTAGAGGATTGCATGGATCAGATTGACATTCTGTCTTGAGTAAAAAAGGATGTCACGCACGCGTTCGATCTATAATGGGGAAGGCAAAACAACACCGTTACCTGCATCCGAAAATTGCACAAATAAGTTTTCAAACCAACAATCAATTCAATGGAAATTCTTGAATCAAAAAATAAATTGGCTTTTCAATGTGCTGAGAAGTGTACGGATCATGTGATAACAAAATTCGTTAAGGTACTTAACAAGTCGTACATCTCCCACTTGAGACTTGCCTATAATTTGACATCATCTAGGAAAAGAAAATGGTGACATATGTACCTAAGCTTTCACGTCGAGGATTCAGTTATTTCTAATAGTAAAGGATGGTTATTTTCAAGGGTCAAATCAAAGCAATGGTAGAATGTGGATTTGCAACGAAAGTCAAGGATTTAGAAGTCCAAACCAGTCAGCAATTCAAAGTTCTGCATAGAGAATCTAATTTAAGCACAATGCAACATTTTCAAAAAAAAATTTATTCAGATCACGCCGTTACGACCAAACAAGTCATCGTAGCTCATTTTTTCAGACGGCACTCCCTTACTTGAGGGAAATAGGTGCATCAAATAAGCATAGCAAACCTAGAGTTACACAAAGCGCTAAGTGTAATTAAGACATCATTTCGATCTGTCCGCGAACAATAAAATAAGCAAGCGCAAAGTAAAATTCTAGCAGATGATCTTAGCGGTCCAGCGCTACACGAGATTAGGAATAAACCCAAATTGAGTTTAGTGCAGGGAACGAAAGTTACTGGAAGGAAAATAAGTAATCGGATATGACTTGCACAACTTTGCAATAATGACGCCAAATGACAATACGATCTAATCGCAAATGTCAAAGCACCGCAAATCAACTTTGGATAGGACTGCTCTAAAAGAAAATTAGCAAGCAACGAACCATCTTAGAAGAGTACTCAGAACTCCATTCCGGTAGCATGGGCAAAACGGGCTCTAGGAAAACCGTTCGTTGTGGCGTTATTACTGAATGCTCAGCGAAATAGCCTGGAACCGTTTGACGAATTTCTAAAATTGACAGTAAATTCGTGAAGGCAATAGAGCTGCGGCGTTGCTGTCGTTGCGAAGACGGTATAATTGAAGATGACATCTGAGAAGCTTGCAGCTGGGGCGATCCTCCACTGCAGGAGCATGATAAAGGCATATCTAGACGTAAATTTAAAACATTTTTTGACTTTTCGGCAACACTTATGACGGCAAATGTTTCCATAACATTAAAAATTCAACTTAAGAAGAAGTGAAGGGCAATGCCAAAGGTTGAATTTTGAGCAGGAAAGGAACATAACGGATGCATAAAATTTGAAACGAGTTAGTTATGCGCACTGATGAACCTCGCACTTAGTAATGCTCTACACTTTAGTGTTAATGGAGGAGTGTGTGATGCAACAATACGAACCGGTAGAAGGAGTAATGGTTCGGTTGTCTTGCGCGTTACTGTTAGAGCGTTGTTGATCTGAGTGGCTACTCAAGTCGATTCCGGAGGTGCTTCCCTCGTTAGAATGGGGACTCCTCAAGCCAACCCCCTCACTTGATATTTGATTTCGCAAGTCGCCCGTACTGGAACTATGCCTAGAATGGAAATAAGGCAACCTATTTAGATGGTAATACATTTGTTAAAGATAGACTTCTCACAATTATTATGTCTAAATACAGAACAAATCAGTTATTGCTCATAAAGAATTACTGATTACCTCAAACTCGGCAAAAATGCACGTGGACCGGTATATAAAAAGTCAGTCAACCAGCGCACAACCTCTTCCTGGTAAATGGCAAGATGAGTGGCGGGAAGAGTGTACCCCTCGGGGGCAGGAGAGTAGTCCAAAGGATTCTTTATCATCGCTGTTAACACGCCATCGTAGAAACTGTATTTTGCTGAAATCCTAATGGAAACGATATTAACCTAGTAGTTGGAAGTACTTTGGAAAGATAGCAGGAAAGTAGTATCGTTTGAGTTGTTCGAAGATGAACCAAAAACACATTGGTCTTCGGTCAAAAGTACTTGAATTCCACTGAATTTTATCCACCTCGGTAACCGCAAATCGTAGAAGATAACGAAGGAGAATGTAATTTTTCCGCTTACAAAAAAATGAAGGATAAAGTCATAGTTAGGATAGCCGGAGCTGAAAACTTTCACAAAAACCCATTATGCAAAAAAAAGTACATAACGAAACGATCGCAGATAATCCCAAAGGGAACTCATTGATGTATCTGAAAAATTGTCACCACAATAAAAGCAATATTAGTTCTCCAACTGTGCGAAAACAAACCAGTGCTTTTTATTTAGGAATAACAAGTGGTCTAATCATATCCGCATGGATCCAATTCAATGGAAATATTAATACCTCATCATTTAACTGTGCAGACCCAACAGATGGCGCTACATCCACCCTTGGCTGCAACGACATACTGCGATCGGATTTTCGGCCATCTCCACCAGGGCTGACTGGTGTCAGATTTAAGGTTTTGTCTAAAGACTCACGGACTCAAACAGTGCATACCTTTTAGAGGCTTGTATGTATCATGAAGCTTGCCAAAATCAGGCACAAGATGAATAAACAGATCTGTACATTCTGTAACTGCGTTCTCCCCAAGTATCTGGTACCAAAGCAGGAACATTCGCATTCCATTCACTTGAACAGATACCGGATTTGATGGAGCCAACAAATCGCGCACAAGATCAACTAAACCGCAATTAATAAGTTGCCCAGATTACAAATGCATTTCATTTGCCATTGTGCGTTGAAGCGTTCTGGAAGATATACTAGTAGTTTCTATGGAAACCAACATCATTGTAACGAAAATTACCTCAAGAATAAGAAGACAACATTCAGAATCCTTGAACGAAAGTGTAGAAACTTAAAACGTGGCATGAGAAATGAACAATACGTTTGGGTTTGAGCTCAATATCAAAATAATCAAAATAATTATGGAAAATTTCAGAATGATGTTCCTCAAAAAACTTTTGAACTTCGGAGTTCGGTAGATTCTCTAAAACGCTAATATCTCGAGCAAAAACCAAATTACCAATTAAAAGCCTTAAATGCTTAACCTTCTTAGACAACTCCTTGTTGTATAAAAATTTCTTTCTTGAATTTTCGCCAACGAAATCCTTCCTCTTATTCCTGCGAAACATAGCATTCAAAAAATTGACCACACATTTGACTAATATAAACAATATTATTAGTATTTGGCGTAACAGTTGAAACGTGTTATAACTAAACGCCTCTTGTATTATACACAAAAACACTTTAAACTACGCTACCTAGCATTACTCTGACGCATAATACATCGTACCAGAACCAGGAGTCTGAACGCATACAGTATTTGTAAGGCCCACCTTAAGCAAGACCGTCTACCTGTGGCGACCACCACCCAAGACCCAGTAAAGCTATCATTTTCTCACAACGCCTCATCTGCTGCAATGTGACCACGCTACAAATGCACGCAGTACCCTGCTTCGCGATCACTTTGGCACTCGCCTGACCCTTGTACATTCCGACTGGTCCTCGAGTCATGCCCAGACCCATTTGCTCTACCATCTTCAGAATACATGCGCACAACTCCACTTATTGACTTCCTATACCGGCTAGGAAGTCTTGGAACGCTACGGTGGGCAACCCATTCGGCTGCGGACCTTTCCGTAGGCAGATTGGAGCCGATGAAGCCACAAAACCGAGTAACGGAGAGAACGCGTGCAACGCCCCAAGACCCCCCATCAGGCAGAAGGCATTAAGTGGAACTGAGCGTGCGCATTCCAGAAAGAGGAAAAGACTTATACCCGGCTTCGACTCAGGGACGTATCCACGAAAAACGGGACCAGACGAATTTTGAAGTAGCCGCCAGATGTCAGGCAGTCAAATGAACAAACCGTCATAGCATTGACCGCTGCGAAAAGGCGGCAGTCCCATTGGGCCAGATTTACGACCACCCGACTCCGCATTGAGATCAGCAACACCTAAACCCCTTGAGCTGAACCCAAACCGAACAGCAATCAAGACGACAACAAACGGCGAAATGTAAAACTAAAATAATTTCAAATTATGTCACGGTCTGATGTTGAGAGAAAGAGTGAGATTAATTGGGTCAAAGAATATCAACGACAAGTCCCCAATCACGTCAATGACGTAATAATGAAAGGCCAAATTGGTGAGAATGAAGATGTGTTCAAAGAGCGCGAACACGGAGTAAACTAAAAAATCGAAAATATACGTTTTTCATGCAAGCATTATACGAAAGGTGAAATGTAACTTACGATGAGGGATGCAATAACGATTGTGAAGAAGATAGCATACAGCAGAGAGGACTATTGACACTGTCATAGTGGTATACAAAAGACTTTTCCTCTTAACTGAATGGACCTAAAAAATAACTACATGTTTCACCTTCATACCAAAGAAGGATACGTGTTCCGAAGACGCCGCAAAATGTGTAGATCCAAAAATCCAAAGAGTGCACACGATATGACGAAAAGGCTGAAGGCGTTTCGATGCAGGGCTGTTAACATTGGGAACACACAGAAGCGTAAATTATATTAGAAAATGCGTACTGGTTCATCAGTCCGCAATACTAAGCATAATTTGAAAAAAAAGTGCCAATATGCACCTGAAGCATTTTCACATACATAAAATAACATGCGAAAGCGCAGAATTTTTAGCAATGAAACCGTTATAGACTTACAATACATAGCAATCCAGATAGACGACTTACAAAAATTCTCCCTTGACGTGAATATTGTCAGTGAAAAGAGGCATATAATCTCTATTAAATGCAACCAGTAGTGGGCCTGAAGGAGGAAGCCCTTATGGTTCAGAGAATCTGCTAGGTGGGACAAGCTAAAATTGTAAGTAGAATGGACGAAAATGCGGACGGCGCATGAGAAGCCGATACTGGCTATCCAAATGCGCTTCCGCAATCCAGAGGCAACTGATGCACTTAAGGAGGGGATATAGTTTGGGATCTACAAAGAAAAGGAAATCGAAAACCATGATCACAACCATCGTGATAAAAAGTGGTGCTTCCACTGGACACCAGTCCTTACAGCACAATGCGTACGCGTCAGACCAGAGGGATCCTCGGCAACAGTCCAAATGACACATATGAGGAGCGATAGAACTGGCAATGCAGCCAATGCCGGGAGGAATCGCCTCACTAATGCCGCCCGCATTATTTATATCAAATATCCCTCATCTATTGCAAAAAA